TTAATTATCATTTAGTTCTATTTAATCAAGTGTTAAAACATTATTTGGATATGTTTCATTTTTTTTCTTTTAAAAAAATTACTGGCTTTATTTGTAATAGGATTTAATTTTGTATTCTTTGATCAAAATTTATAAATATAAGGAAAACAAAATTTTGATGAAGTGACAATAAAGAAAGAAAATAAAATCATGGTGGACCCACAATATTACTTTTTGCTATCATACTAAAATGTATTTATTAGTAAGAAAATAAAATTTTTTAAATTATTAAGAAGAAAAATAAAATATCATTTTTCCCTAATTTTTAGTTGAATTTTGAAGACCAGGGGCAAAAATAATAGTTCTGTTTCATTCTTAAAAATTTTAAAAGTTTTATTTATTTTTCAATAAATATATTTTAGTATGATAGCAAAGAGTAATAATTATAGATTTATTACCTTAAGTTGTAATTTTATCTTATTTTTGTTAGAAATTTGTTTAAAGGATCATATTGACACCATTTTAACAGGTTTGAGAATATCATGGAACAATTTAAAAATTATAGATCAAAGTGAAACCTAAATAAAAAGTTTGAAATTATTAATGCACTCTACCCAAAAAAGGAAAGAGAAGAAGAAAATTTATTTTTCTTTCATTATGTTTACACTACAACACAAACTATATTTAGTGACAATTTTTTTGTCTCAAAATCATAATTTTTAAAGGCAAATATGATATAGTCGCCATAATTTAATATATTTGCCTCTATTTAATTTTTTAAGGGCAAATGTACAATTAATCTTTATATTTATCGACATTTGCCTTTAAAATTATTATTTTAGAGATAAATATATGAGTCTGACAGTCTTAAAAAAAATAAAAAGAAAAAGCATTTTAAAAAAAATTAATTTTAAGGGCACATTTTTCTTGATGGTTTAGATGACTATCAAAATTTATCTGTTTCTTTTATTTTTTATTGATCAAAATGAAACCGTCATTAATGATTAACGTTTTGATGGCACTTTTACCTTTAATAATAATTAAACAAATCCATTTTCCCACATATTTTTCTTTTGATAATTTTTTTTCTCTCTCCCTTTCCCTCTCTTTTGCTTTATATTATTTTTTAAGAATTAAAGAATTCATGTTTTTGCTCTTTCAAAATTAAAAGCAAAATCACAATCCTATTAAAATCAAAATCTCTTTCTTCAATCAGAACCAAAATCAAAATCTCTTTCTTAAATTAGATTTTATCTTTTTTATTTTTTCCTAATTTTTGAAAATTAAATTATCTTAATTTTTCCTATTCTACTCTGAAGATTGTCATCTTCATCATAATCTCTATCATCATCATTTGTGGCTATCGCCCTCATTTCTTCAACTAAGTTTTATTTTCTCTAAATACTACTTCCATATGCATTTTGATTTTTTTAGTTTTGATTTCTAATGTCCAATCGGCTAATAGTCACTTATTGTTTCACTCAAGTTCAAATACACAGAGATAAAACCTCCTCGAAAAAAACCCAATCAAAAAGTTTTGTTGAGGAGAAGAAAGTTCTGTTTTAGGCGAAGAGTTACTAAACAGAGTATCGGCCACTAAAGATGTTGACGAAACGCTTGAAATAATGTGAACAACAAAACGATGACTCGTGAGTAGTTTTCATTGTTGTTTGATAATAAATGTTGCGCTTACTTGTAACAACGCTGATTTGATTTGGTAATAAACCAATTGGTACGAAGGAAGAAAAGAAAAGAGAAAGAAAAAGTCATAAATAAAATTATGAGATACAATAACAATTTTACTATAGGTTAAAGTTAAATTTTGTTGCTATACTTTGAGTTGGTTGAATTTTTCTACTTTCATTTTTAGACCAAAGCAAAAAAAATAAAAATAAAAAGAATAATAAAATATTTCATTAATATATTTAAAATAAATTTTGAATAAAATAAAAAAAAATGATGTAGATATCCCACACATAATAAAAATTTACACGTGGAGTGCCACATTAAAATTAATTATTATTTGTTTTTATGAAATTTTATACTAAAATAAATATTTTCTTAATATTAAATTTAAAAAAACTAATTTTAAGACATTATTTCTTATGTCAGTAATTTTCTTTCCAAACGAACGTCAATTAGTGAAAAAAAAATTAAAGAGAATACTAATGATACCGAATGACATTCCATATTATTGTTTAAGTTCATATATTTAGATTAATTTTAATAGTGTGATATAAAGTTTTGTTGTTATATGAAAATATTAAGTTTTTAATTCTTTGAACTTATGTGATATATTTTACTATTGCTTGTAGAGTTAATTTCTTTAATTGCGATTCAGAAGTTAACTCTGATCATATTTCTTTGAATTTCGAATAAAACATTTTCTAAAATAACTTCAAAAATTTTATATGAAAATAATTTTTTGTGCTTTTTAAACTTTTTATAAATCTGTTATTATATTTGATATTTCTAGAAGTATTTGACATTATGTGTTTTAATGAAATTAATTTTAAGTTATAATAGATTTTAAAATAAAATAGTGTAAACAAATATTATCTAATAATTTGCTCTCACTTTATATAAATCCTGGAATTGTCTCTCGATATTGCCCATGTTCATCCAGATAGTTTTTTAAAAGAAATAAAACAATATTTTTATTTAATTTGTAAAATTTATAATGTTAAAACATAAATAACTTAATATATCTCTAATATTTACACTACAATATTTTATATATTTACCTTTTATATAAGATAAATTATATAATACATATAAATAAAATTATATAATAAATAAAATAATGAGAAGGGATCAACTTATATAATGTAAAACTGATAAAGTTTTATACATTTTTTTAACTATTGATTTTAATAGATTTAAGGGATGTGAGAGACAAATAAAAAATAAAAAATAATAATTTAATCTCATTTTTTGAATATAATAAAATCAATTATTAAAAAAATATATAAATTTTTTTTATTTTACCCTCATCATAAATAATATATATAATTAATAATATCTTTTAAAGGGATCTCTTTTTTTTTTTTTTCCCTCAAGTCCATATAGTTATTATTTTTGTACTAACTCTTTCAAATAGAAATTCGAGCATGGATGGTAATCCAATTCTTAAACAAATGATATGACTTCAAAATTTTAAATCTGTTGTGTTGATGGTGCTTCTGAATGGAGATCAGCTGGTTGGTGAGTTAGATTGGATTGAATCTATAACAAAAAAATATGGTTAAAAGGTGTCAAAGTTTGTTCTTGAGAACTCGTTCCAACCTCAAGTCAGTTAAGTGCTTTAGGTTTTTTCGGAGGTAGGAGATTAGGTATAAAAAGTATGATGAAAGCTTAAAGATGAAGGGTTCAGAATGTGCATTAAGATCTCTTTTTTATCGTATATAACAAACAATGGATGGTGACATGACCAAAATCAAAGACAATTGATGAGAAGTATATATGAAACTCGATGAGGGTTTATGTAAGTAAATGTAAATTATATTTAATAATTCAAACAAATTTAAGGTAATTAGTCTGCTGTGAGATGATATGTTGATATAACTTCAATTAAGGTAATTGGACGAGCTATCTCCATAGACGAGGAAATCCTAGAAGGTAAGCCCATACTATGGTGATGAGCTTGGGCGTTGATCTTCCTTAATGTTTGATCGACAATCATACATTTGCTAATTTGATTAATATAAAAATTGCCATTGCACAACAAATAATTACTTCAAATACAAGTTTGAATTCACGATTGCATTAATTGTCAAATTTTTTTTTTCTCTTTCAGCCTAATATTCTTTTATATTTTTGTAGTAGTAAAAGTTATCTTTAAACGAATTGAATTCTAAATTGCGGTAGTCAAATTTAAATTCTGTGCATTTTTATTCTTCTAGAAGGTCAACACAATTTTTTTCCTCTTAGTTATATTGATTATGAAAGGACGAAATTACATGTTCAATCTGTGCACACGATTTGCAAATTTGAAAGAAAGAAAAAAAAGCCATATTATATTGGCAGTGTTAATTATACTTTTAATACTTAAATTTTGAAAAAAATATATAAAATGGCATGTAAAAAATAAAAAATACAATTGACATATTAAATTTTTAAATAGTATATTATTTTAATCCAAATTCTAATAATGTTAACTTAATCCATCTATAAGATATTTAACAAATATAATTTATCATATGTACATTTTTTGTTATATACAAGTCTTAAATATTTTGCAAAAACATCATACGGATATTATGTAACAAATAATAATTGATTAATCTAAGCAATTTTTAAGGGTTCAAATAAAAAATATATTTTTTAATTTATATTAAAAATTATATTGATAGTATGTCTAATGAATACATAATATAATAATATTTATTAAACTCAACATATATAAGTTGAAATAGTTAATTAAATTAAAGTTTGGATTAATATGATATATAAATTTGAAAGTTTACAGTATAAATTCTATATTTTATTTTTTAAAATATCAATTTATATATTTTTTTCAAACTTCAAATACAAAAAAATATAATTAATCATTGGCAAAAGTACTTTCAAATTTTCACTTTTTCATCATTAAATCTTTAATCAAGTAATAAATAATTCGGAGGAGTGCAGGATTCTAAAAGATGGGTAAAAATAAAACAATTAAAATAAATTGAAATAATGAAATATTGATTAATAATAAAAATTTGAAAATGAAATACTAATTAATGTTGGTTAGCAAGTAAATTAACAACAAAAATCAATTAGAAGTGGTACAAAAATATGGTCGGTGAAAGCGCGGGGAAATGGAAATTGAGGGGCAGGCGCAGGGATAGGGGCAGGGGCAGGGGCAGAGCAGTCAAAAGGTCAAGGGTCGCTTAACATGAGAGCCAGCCCACCTATTGAGACAGGAAAAACATTTGTTTATTTAATTGTTAATTTTCACAACGCTTATGTTAAGGAAGGGAATTTTAATCTGAAAAGGACAATAATGTGCAGAGTGGGTCCTCACTGCTATTTTGACAACACAAAAACTGACCAGAGAAGAGAGATCGGACCAGGCCTTTTTCTGGGAGATTTCGTTTCTACTCGTTTCTTATCTTTTTTCTGTTTTTTGAAGAATGGAATTATATACAGTTTACACTATCCACAAAGCTAGCTAATCAGTATAAAATATCTGCTCTGCATTTTGACCTCAAAGCTTTTAATCCCCAAAATTATCATCACCCTTTGGCTTGTGTGATATATATATATATATATTTGTCTTTGCGTGGCTGGGGATTGGAGGGGAAAGGAAGAGGAATAGCAAGATGAAGAAGAACACCGGCGGTGGTGACTCGAGTTCAAAACCTGATAGGAAAACCATCGAGAGGAACCGCAGAATTCATATGAAAACTTTGTGCTTTAAACTTGCCTCTCTTATTCCTCATCACCACTCCAAACCCTCTAAGGTATTTTATATATACACAGTTATTCTCTCCTTTCTTTCTTTCTCATCCGCCATGAGTGGTACTTGATTGCATATTTCTGGGTTGCTTAATTTGGACTTTGGAGTCACTTATTTTTTCCCTTCGTAACAAAGATGATTTCTCTTCAACATTTTCTTTATCTATTGATGTTGATTATAAAGTATAAACTAATAGCTCTTACCTCTAAAATCAAAGAGAGTGAGACTGGTAATCCATATTATCGGTACTAATACTGGTACTTATGAAGGAAGCTCCAAAATGTCACATTCATGGCGTCTTATCTTAACTTCAGTTTCCTCGATTCTGGAGGTGTTACCCACCTCTTACCTCTGAAACCATAGAGAGCGAGACGGGGTAACACGGAGACCCTTAACAGGAATTCTGTACATAGTATGGACAACCTTTACTTTCCAGATCCTTTGTCATCAATTGTCTTGTTCATTTATGTCCTTTAGTTTGTGGGTATTATTGGTTGTGGAAATGAACTTATTTTTAGTTTTCATTACAGGACGAAGTAAAAAACGAATTTCTCTTGTCTTACTCAGATATCTTTCATTCAATCTTGCTTTGTTCCTATCGTACCCTGTTTGTCCACGTCATAACTCGATTTTTGTGCTATCATTTACCAAAAAAAGGTTAACTATATGGTAATAATTACAATATTTTTAAATTTGTTTGGTATTTGTGATTTTCAGGAAATTGTATCACAACAAGACCAGCTTGATCTTGCAGCTGCCTACATAAAGCATTTAAGAGAGAAGATAGAGAAGTTAAAGGCGATCAAAGAACAAGCCATGAAATCAAAAGAAGCAAGCAGTAGCATAATGAATACAACTGCATCGGTTGGTTTAAGTTTGCCTGTGGTTGAGTTAAGAGACTTTGGATCCAGCATTGAAGTGATTTTAATAACTGGATTGAACAAAAACTTCATGCTATATGAAGTTATTAGCATTCTTGAGCAAGAAGGGGCTGAAGTTGTAAGTGCGAGCTTTTCCACCGTGGGTGGCAAGATTTTTCACACCCTTCATGCTCAGGTGAGTACTTAATCGAATTAATTAATTCTACTTTAATTATTTATTTTTTAGTCTCAATAATTGCTAACCTAAAATTTCTTCATTTGTTAAATTTGCAGGCTAAAATTTCTAGAGTTGGTGTAGAGACTGCAAGGGTGTATCAGAGATTGCAAGAACTGATTAGCTATTATTGATTTGTATGAGGACGTAGTGTAATTGTATTGCAAGTGCGTCATGCAGACCTTGATTTGGAACTTGAAGTTCTGGATTAAGAAATATCTGAATCCAATTAGATAATTACTAGTGTATTATTAAAAAAATATAAACAACTATCAATAGATATCTAAGACGAGGATAAAATTTTCAGCTGCTACTGAGAGACGAGGAGCCAAGAGAGAAGCTGGTGTTAAGGCTTGAAGGCATCCACTTCAGCCAAAAACTAAAGAAAATTTAGGCCAGGGGACCAATTCATAGTTGGATGTCAACTTCCTCAATGGCAGTCGAATGAGTTTTTTGTTTCTCTTTTTTTGTTGGCCTGCCCTCAATTCAATGTACATGAATTAGTTATTAGTAAATCTATACCTATTTTCTTGATAGTGTACGACTGTCTTAAAATAATTATTACAAATCCCCTCTTCATCGATGCAGTTACCTAATTTCTAGTTTCTTGATTATGTAATGATCTGTCTTAGACTTTGTTTGGTACATAGGAATGAAATGAATGTAATGATTGTGCTATATACACAATAGGAAAGAGATAATGAAATTTGTCAAAGATTGAATAAGTTGTTTCATATTCATATGAAGCAAGACTTTAATGCAAATTTCATCCCAACTGTGAGCTTTTATGTAATTTTTTATTTACATACATGACTTGTTAAAATATTTTAAATTCATCAATTTTCTCAATTATTGTTAAAACTTAACGGTCTCTTTCGATAGTAATTGCAGTCCAAAAAATCAAAAGGATCAATAAATTACGTTGACATCCAAGTGTATTTGCGCCCATATATTTTTGCCACTCATAAAAATTCATGTTGTAAGGATTATGCCATTCAGCAACACATAGATGGCATTGAAGTAACAAATTTCAATGGATTTTAATAATCATTGATGAAATGGATGGATATTTAAAAAAAACTTTAAAATATTACACGAGTTCAAAAATTAAATTTTAATGTAATTTCTGCATCGAGACTTCTACTGGTGTAGACATCTTTGTTGTCCAAAAAATCTAAATTATGGTGATAGCATTATTATTGTTCAAAAGAACGTTATATAGTGGTTCATGCATCGTGTAGAGCATCAGATGCATGCATCGTCAAGATTAACTTGCAGCTCAACTATTTTCAAAAGGAAAAAAAAAAAAAAGTACTTTCATCCCAAAGCCCTTTTTATTATTTGGTATCATCAAAACTTTTTTTTTACAAAAGAATAGTAGGGCAGAAATAAAAAAATTATAAATTTGAAATTTAAATTTAGTATTTGTTGGATATTATCTCTTAAAAAGTGATTATATGAGCTAATTAAATTAAAATTTGAATTCATCAAAACTCTCTTTTAATCCTTACATCAATATTTCAAAATGGTATATGGAATGCATAAATGCTTTACTTTTAGCAAAACTCCTTTTTCTTTACATGGTCTTTGTGTTAATTTGTTTTTGAAATTAATGATATACACACAAACTCTCTTACTTTTGGAAGAAATACATAAATTTTTTGTTTTAACTTTTTTTATATTAGTTATTTAAATGAAAATATTTTCCAAATTAATTATCATAACTTCGTAAAATTAAAAATAAAATTTAACTTGTTCATTATTTCGCAATTCTCATATATTTGGATATATATATATATATATATATTTATAAATATGAATAGATTCTTTTTGTAGATATTGAAGAAACTAGTTAAGACCTAAGATTGAATCTTTCTTTCTTTCTTTCTTTTTTGTTATATTAAACTGGGATTGAATCTTTCTTCATTGACTTTCTTGACTTCATTCATCCAATGGTATTAAGTAATATAATTTATAAACACTTTGCTAAGGAAAGTCAATTAGAGACCACCGAGTTAACTATTGGAATTCATGCATCTTATGTTCACTTGAAAATACATATAAATAATAAAAACAATACTAAAGTCCCAAAGACCAAAAATGTTAGGTAGTGATCGTAGTAGTAAAAGTTAACCAGACACCGGTTCATTGCTTTAGACGACTGAGACTGGGAGGAGACCAATCAAACCCGTTTTTCTTAAAAGATGAACGCACGTAAACAAAGTCTATTTAAACAATACATATAGCTGAACGCGTCAAATTGTTATTAAAATAAGCAAGAAAGACAAAAAAAAAAAAAAACAGTAACACAGCATGTGTTTAAAATTGAATTCAATGTTGAATTTGTCAGAGGCGTTCAAAATTATCCTATATGTTAACTATCTTCATGGATAGATGTTTATATTATATATATTACAACCGTAGATTCTTCTTCATCTTCTTCTTAAATCCTATTTAATTCCTAGGAGCTATCAACTTGAAAATGAAAGGAATCATTGGACTCATTTTGTGATCGATGTTCAAAAATTCAAAAACAAATTTTCTTCCTACAATCATAAAATTGCTAAACTACCCTTGTCTTGTAAATATTTCCTCTTTTACACAACAAAGTTTAAAATACATTTTAAATTAATTATATATTTTTACAAAATTACCCTTTAGAAAAAAGAAAATACATGATTATAATTACGAATAACAAGAGAAAACAAGAATAATTTTCTTTATTTTTTAAACAAATATTAATCGATGGACAACTAAAGATATGTAGAGAAAATATTATTTACATAACAAAAGATTTTGAATATATTTGATATATAAGATTATGATAAGATAGGATAAATGATATTATAAATAAGATTAGATTAAATAATATCATCTTATCTTATATTTGATATATAAGAATATATTAAAATAGAATAATTTATTTATTGATCAAAATTGTCTTGTCTTAAAATTTATATAATTTAAATTATTAATATAACTTTTAAGGATATAACATGATATATAAATTTAATCTAATGAATTAAAAATAATCCTCTCGACTTTGAGAGAATTGAATCATCTTATATTAAAAGGATAATTAATACTCCTTATAATCCTCTTTATTTCTTTAAGTACAAATCAAATATAATATAATATGATTATCATCATATCTTATTAATTATCTCATGTACCAAACATGACCTTTATTCTTTATTTATTATTCATTTTTTCATTCATTTTAAACCTCAAGAGAAATATTTAAAATGAAATTTTGGCATATAGTTTTAGAATTTAAATGTCTGTCCTTTGGCATATATGATAATATCTCATTCTTTTATTTTGAATAATAAAATTATTAATTTCTAGATTTGATAATTTTAAATATAATATAATGATATATTACGATGACACGATATAAAAATAATATAAATTATATTTTTTATTATTCAAAAAGATAAAACCATTTGAATCTAGATTTTAAATTGGTTCATGTAATCATATATAAAAATTAGTATATAAATTTAAAATTTAAATATCAATATTTGCGTATCTTAATTTATCTTTGAGACTGTAATTTATTTTTATACAAAAAATGAGATAAGTCCCTTATTTTTTTTTTACAAGGAAAGCCACAATTTAGTTGAATAAATGCCATTTCTTACTAAATGACAAATCTTAAGAATAATTGAATAAATTAATTGAGTTAAAATTTGAATTTCAGATAAATCTTCTTGACTGCTATATAAGGGTCCTAATTTGATTTCTTCATATTTACTAAATAAAAATATATGATATAAGGAGACTAGTACAAGTCGTAATGACAATGAGATGATAACGATGGTTAATTTGAATGTGGACGAAGAGTTCCAGCATCAGTGGATATGGCAAAGGAAGGTTCCGTTCCCATCCAAAATAGCGGGCGGCTGTACACTTAACTTTACATGCTAAGTTAAGTTCTTGACGATCAATTAACTAGCAAACAACCCTCCAGCGTGTTTTACACATTTCAAAATAATTTCTCTCTAATAACAAAAGCAATTACTTACAAATATCCTTCTTTTCTAATTTCTTCAGTTGTATAAAAATTCAAAAGGCACTGCCAAGATGATTTTAAATAATACAAGCGAGGGGATATTTTAAAAATGCTTACGCTTTTGAAGGAGAATGTTTAACAGACTTTTTTTTTTTTTTTAAGAATCTCATTGCAGAATTATTATTATTGTTCTTATTGTATTTTTTTTTTACCAAATTATTATTATTAAGGTAATTATTAATTATTAGCAAACAAAAGAAAGAGCCGTGGTTCGAAAATTATAAGTGGCGCGTGGTTTTTCCCCCTTTGTTTTGTTTCCTTTTCAAAACAATAATTAGTTTAGTGAAAAAGAAAAACTAAAAGTTACGGAAAGTACAAACATAAAATGATACCATGAAAATAAACGTGTTCATTAATTGAGTTGCGTCAGAGGCCTTTTTTTTTTTTTTTTTTAAGACTCGACTCAATTTGTCTAGTTAAATTCATATTATCTAAATTTATTAATAAATTATTTTTATATTAATATTTTGATTTTTTAAACATATTTAGAAATCAAAGTTAAAAATTAATTATTTTACAATAAATATCTTAAAAATAAATCAAATCCGCGATTGAAAATTATTATCTATGAGCCGACCTATGAATAATAATACTTAAAAGCAATTTTAATATATAATGGCTCCCTCGGGTTGATTTTTTTGTTATTTTTTATTTTTAATATAAAATAACAAAAAAATTAATACACACTGAATATTATTAAAATATTAAAATTTTTTTAAAAAGTTAAACATAGTATTTAATTTATTGTGATTATTGCTTTTGTTATTGATTTTTTCTGCTATGTTAAGAGTGTTATAATTTTTTTAATTATTTGATCAATTGTATGATTTTTTTAATTTATTCTATAAAATTTAAAAAATTTATCGTTGCATACAACTTTAAAATCATTATCATTATTTTTTATTTAGATACAATTTATTATTTAATTAAATTTATTTTATTTTAAAGAGAAGTTTGAAACTTGATTGATATTTTAAAAAAGTAGATTTTAATATACAAAACCAAAGTGGATAGCACTCACAATGCCTACCAAAAAATGATACCAAAAGTCTAAAAAAAAAAAACTTTACCAAATAGTTTAATATTAAAAATTATTCTTAAATTATTTTAATATATTGATAATAATTTAAAAATATTTTCTTATCTTAGAAGTATTTAAAAAAATTATCTATCATTGCTCGAAGAGGTTTCATAGTCAGATTAATTTAATTTTTATAGAAAAAGATTTATTCATGACAAATAAAGTTTTTTTTAAGAATCTTAATGTCAAAATTTTTTTCTAAATTTTTTAATATGTTGATAAATTTTAAAAAAATTTCTCACTTAAGAATTTATATAAAAATTATTATTTGCAACGTTTTTAGTTTCATTATCAGAGATTTAAAATCAATTTTCATTTATCAATTTTTATTTTCAAAAATATATTTTAATATATTGGTAAGATCTTTTATCTAAAAAAATATTTTAATATATTGGTGAAATTTCATGAGAATTATTTTTTTAAATTAATAAGAATTTTCAATATATTGATAAAATCTTATTTTTAGACTTTTGAAAATAAAAAAACTCTTTGATATGTTGGTAAGATTTAATTTTGAGATTTAAATCCTATTTTATGAATTTATTATAAAACTTAGTTTAAATATATATATATATATATATATAAAGGAAAAACAACTAAGTGAGATAAATAATATACAAATAAACCAAAAACAAAAATTACCAAATGAATTGGACTAGACGCTCAATATAATCCAAGA